TCAAGGACAAATCCAGTAAAAAAAAAAAATCTCAGAACCCTATTTGAACCAATAAAAAGCTGGATTCCATAGTGTACCTGTAATCTTTTCTACTCAGGATTTGTACTCTTGCTTGGCTTTTTTTTTTTTTTTAATCAAGGCTGGTACTCTACCACTTGAGTCACATCTCTACTTCTTGATTTTTGCTGGTTAATTGGAGGTAAGAGTCTCTCAGATTTGTCTGCCTGGGCTGGCTTTAAGCCTCAGTCCTCAGATCTCAGCCTTCTGAGTAGATAGGGTTATAGGTATAAACCACCAGTATCTAGGTTCCCCCTTTCTTTGTTGTTCCCCCTTTCTTTGTCCTGAGGCTTGACTTGAGGGTCTGGGCAAGGTCCCTGAGTTTGTTTTTTTTTTTTCCTCGAAGCTACTGTTTTACCACTTGAGCCATAGCTCCATTTCCAGTTTTGTGGTGTTTGATTGGAGATCAGAGTCTCACAGACTTTTCTACTCAAACTGGCTGAGTCCTTGGATCTCAGCCTCCTGAGTAAGCTAGCATTACAGATATCCAAGAATCCATAGTGCTAGTTGGGCCTTCAGCAAAAAAAACTCAGGAACAATGTCCAGGCCCTGAGTTCAAGCCCCAGGACCATCAAAAAAAAAAGAAAAAAAATGGTGAATTTTGAGAACTAGAAGACTTGTACACTGTTGATAGGATTGGAAACGGTACAGCATCTCTGAAGAACAGTCTGGCACTTTTATCAGAAGATTAAATATAAGGTTACTTTATGACCTAGTAATTGTACTTCTAAGTTCAAAGGGATAAAAAGCACTCTTACACAAAAACTGAACATGAGCACTCACACCAGTAGGCTAAAAGTAGAAAGGACTCCAAACACCCCAAATCTATCACTGATAAATGAATAAATAAAACAGAAAGTGGTATATCTATGGACTAGAGGTGTAGCTCAAGGGGTAGAGCATCCACCTGACAAATGTGAAGTCCTGAATTCAACTCCTCCCCCCACAAAGTAATACAACAATAGTTCCATACAATGGAATGTAATTTGGCAATAGAAAGAGTGAAGTTTGGTCCATACTACAACCTAGTTGATTCTCAAAAACATTGTATTAAGTGTAATAATTATCATTTTTAGTTAATATCAAGAATAATAGCCAGGCCCCAGTACCTCATACCTGTAATCCTAACTACTTAGGAGGCTGAAATCTGAGGACAGGGATTCAAAGCCAGCAGATAAATGAGACTGCCTAGTGCCGGTGGCTCACTTCTGTAATCCTAGCTACTCAGGAGACTTGGGGTTTGAGAATCAAGGTTTGAAGCCACCCCAGGCAGGAAAATCTACAAGACTCTGATCTCCAATTAATCACCAAAACCTGGAACTAGACTTGGGGCTCAAGTTGTGGAGTGATAGCCTCAAGTGAAAAGCTTGCTCAAGCCCCAGTATCAGCTCTGTCTGTCTGTCTGTCTGTCTATCTGTCTGTCTATTACACATACACGCGCGCGCACACACACATACACACAAAACGTAAGAAATTTTTGCCTCCAGCTAACCATCAAAAAGCCTAAGTTGGAGGTGTTACTCAACTGGTAGATCACCAGCCTTGAGGGGGAAAAGCTCAGCAAGATCAAAGCCTAGAGTTCAAGCCTCAGCACAGAAAACAAAACAACTGCAAAAACAAAACAAAGAACAGTCTCATGTATCCCACAACTTTCTGGAACTAAAAATGTTATTTTCAACAACAACAACAGAAAAAAAACAGTATATACAGTGAAAGAAGAGAATGGTCATTGGCAAGACTCAAATTAGTGAGTTGGAAGAACAAGTGGAAAAAATACTTCAAAGCTCAGAGCAAATAATAGGAAGAGACAGAATTAATGAGAAAAACATGAGAACTGGAGAATAGATCCAGTAGTCTAACCTACAAATATATTCATTGTTCTTTCCCTTCCTCCCTCCCTGCCCCCTCCCTCTCTCTACCTTCTTTCTCTCCGCACCCCCGCACCCCTCTTCCTTTCTTTCCTGGCGATGGAACGCAGGTATCTTGTACTTGCTAGGTGCCTATTTTACCACTGAGCTACATCCCAACCCTCAACTACATTCATTCTAAAAGAGAGAGGAATAGATAGGAAAGGGTGATAATTAAGATTAGAAGCATATTTGCTGACCTTAAGAGAGATCTGAGATTCAGATCAGAAGAGCACAAGAAGATGCAACAAGAAAAAAACACAGAGGCATATAACTTCTGAATTCTGTGGTAAAAGGAAAACACTATCGGGTGTCTATAAAGAAAGGACTAAGGCCAGGCTCTGGTGGCTCATGCTTGTGAGCCTAGGTGCTCAGGAGGCTGACATCTGAGGATAATGGTTTGAAGCCAGCCTGGGCAAGCATGTCCCTGAGGTTTTTATATCTAATTAACCAGAAAAAAGCTAGAAGTGGAACTGTGGCTTAAGTGGTAGAGTGCCAGCCTTGAGCAAAAAAGCTGAGGGACAGTGCCCAGGCACAGAGTTCAAGCCTTAGTACCATTAGTAGAAAGGAAGAAAGAAAAAGCAAGAAAAAAAGGCAGGTGAAGGAAGCAAGGTAGGGTGGAGGAAGGAAGGAAGGTAGTTCACACCCAGCTAAAAAAGCATTTATCAAGGCAAAAGAAAGATATTTGGGGATCTGAAAGATTCATTCTGATACTTCTTCTGCAGACAAAACTTAAGGAAAAAAAATGGTATAGAACAGAGAAATCCAGGGGCTGGGGAGGTGGCTTAGTGGTAGAGCGCTTGCCTTGCATGCCTGAGGCCCTGAGTTCGACT